CTTTGTTTTGCTGTCCGCAAGTACTGCTAGATCTAAGATTCTCAAGCTCTTTCTGTTTTTATTTCAGATCTCCAGAAACCACAGTATTTTGCTTTCATTATCTTCGTTATGTTGATGTGTGTTGAATATTGCATTTCAATTTTTTTTGCAGTAATAGGTAATAAAATTGTCTCTCATTCACTCAAAAATAACCTTGGAATTGGGCTCTTTTGGTTTGATTCAGTTAACTGCAATTTAATAGAGGTATAAAAGCTGTGTGCTGAAATCAATGTATTGTAATTGACCAAGAGAGGTTTTAAAAGACGGGAGATCATTTCCTTTCCTCACCTGGTTGTGGCATGAGGTGCAGGAAAGAAAATCAAGCTAAAATAAAATCAAAGAACTGTGGGTCCTGGAAATCTGAAACAAAAAAGTGCTGAAGAAACTCATCAGGTCTGGGAGCATCTGTAGAGAGAAAAACAGTTAATGTTTGTCCAGTGCTCCTTTGTCCAAAAATCACACTGTTGCTGAAATGAAGACAGAATTTTAATATTTGTCACATAAAGGAAGTAGAAGCCTCCTCTCTAACATTTGCACCAGGTGCCATCTCAACACAAACTGTATTGCTTAACATTTGGCATTGTAAAGTTAATCTTGTTGTATGAAAATGAAAAATGTCTCCCTCTTGTGCTTCTCTGAATATAGTGCATGATGGTTTATTTTTTTCCCAGGATGACTGCCTTAATATGTGTTTTTTTTAAAATTCATTCATGGAATGTGGGCATTGCTGGCTAGACCAGTTTTTATTATCCATTTCTAATTGCCCTTGAGAAGGTGGTGAGGAGCATGCTAATTGAACCACTTCAGAAAATGGGGGGCAGGTATAAACCTATAATGCTGCCAGGAAGGAAATTCCAGGATTTGAGCCAGTGACAATGAAAAAAACAACAGTATATTTCCAAGTCAGACTGTTAGGCGGTTGGAAGGGAACTTGTAAGTGGTGGTGGGGCTCCCATGCAACTGATACCCTTATCCTTCTAGGTCATTAGAAGTTGCACAGAGGTAGTGGTGGAAGGTACTATCTAAGAGTTGGGTGAGTTACTGCAATATATCTTCCAAATAGAAATACGCTGCTTCCACTTTGCTTCAGTGATGAGGGAATAAATGTTGAAGGTGGTGGATAGGGGCCAATTAAACAGCTGCTTTTTCCTGGATTGTGTCAAGGTTCTCGAATATTGTTGGAGCTGCACCTATCCAGACAAGTATTTCATCATAGTCGTGGCTCACGCATTTTGGTTGTTGCATAGGCTTCTGGAAGTTAGGAGGTGATTTACTTGTCACAGAATTCCCAGCCTCTGATTTGTCTTGTAGCCACAGTAGTTTCGTGAGTAGTCAATGGTAAACTTCAAAATGTTGATAGTTGGGAATTCAATGGTGATAATATTATTGAATGCCTAGCAGCGATGGTTAGATTCTCTCCTGTTGGAGATGGTCATTGTCTGGGACTTGAGTGAAGTGAATGTTAATTGCTGTTTATCAGCCCAATATGGAATATTGTCAAGGACTTGGTCTATTTGGACATGGACTGTTCCAGTATCTTGAGGAGCTGTGAGAGGTGCTGTTCACTATGCAATCAGAAAACATCCCCTGCTATGATGAGGAAATGGGCATTGATGAAGCAGCTGAAGATGGCTGGGCCTAGGACCCTACCTTGAGGAACTCCTCTAGTTGTGTCCTGGAGCTGAGATGACTGACCTCCAACAACCATAACGATCTTCGCTTGTACTGGAAACAACTCCAATCAATGGAGAGATTTTACTCCCAAATCCCTCAACTCCATTGTTAGGGATTGTTCTTGGTGCACTTCGTTAAACGCTACCTTGATGTCAAGAGCAATCACCCCCATTTTCGCTTCTGTTTCGCTCTTTTGTCCATGTTTGGACCAAGTAATGAGGTCAGAAGCTGAGTGGGCCTAGTGGAACCCAAACTGAGAATCAGTAAGCAGGTTGTTGTTGAGGAAGTATTCTTTGATATTACTGCAAATTACATGTTCCATCATATTGCTGATGATTGAGAGTAGCCCGATGGTACAGCAGTTGGAGGAATCATATTTGTCTTGTTTTTGTGCCCAGGTATATCCTATCCAATGTTCCACATTGCTGGGTGGATGCAAATGTTGTAACTGTACTGGAACGTTTGTCTAGGGGCACAGCTAGGTCTGGAGCACAAGGCTTTAGAACTGTTATTAGAATGTCATCTGGGTCCTTAGTGTTTGCAACATCTCGTCTTCAGCTGTTTCTTGATATACATAGAGTGAATTGAATTGGCTGAAGGCTTGCATCTACAGGAGGATGAGATGGATTATCCACTTGGCACTGCTAGCAGAAGATGCTTGTAAATGTTTCATGCTTATCTTTTGGACTGATGTGCCAGGCTCTCCCATTATTGATGATGGCGGTATTTATGCAGACTCTTTCTTCATTGAATAAATTGTCCACCATTATTCATAATTGGATGTGGCAGGACTGCAGAGATAAAATCAGATTTCTTAGTTGTGGGATCACTTAGACTTTATAGCCTGCTGCTCACATTGCTTGGTATGCAAATAGTCCTGTCTTGTAACTGTACCAGGTTGACATCTCATTTTTAGGTAGGCCTGGTGCTGCTCCTGGCATGCACTCCTCCATTGTTCACTTAACTAGGATTGATCTCCTGAATTGACAGTAATGTTAAAGTGGGGGATATGCCAGGCCATGAGGTTACAGATTGTGGTTGAATTTAATTGTGCTGCTGTTGATAGTCCACTGCACCTCGTGGATGGCCAATCTTGAGTTGCTAAATCTGTTTGAAATTCATCCCATTCAGCATGATGGTAGGACCACACAACAAAGCGTATTCTCAATGTGACAGCAGGACTTTGTCTCCACAATGACTGTTCAGTGCTCACTCCTATGTCATGTCATGGATGGATGCATCAACTACAGGTAGACTGGAGAAGATGAGGTCAAGTCAACTTTTGTCTCGTGTCGATTCCCTCACCACCTTCTGCCTGTCCAATGTGCCAGCTATGTCTTTTAGGACTCAGCCAGCTTAGTCAGCAGTGGTGCTCAGCATATCCCCTACTTTGCCAATTCAGGGGATCAATCTAGTTCAATGAAGAGTGCAGGAGGGCACGCCAGGAGCAGCACCAGTGGACATTGAAGTCCTTCACCCAGAGTATATCTGTGCCATTTCCACCCTCAGTGTTTCTTCTAACCAGTGTTCAACATAGAGGAGTACTGCTTCATCAGTGCATGATAATTAATAGGATGTCTCCTTGCCTATGTTTGACCTGATGCCATAAGACTTCATTTTGTCCAAAGTTAATGTTGAGGACTCGCAGGGCAACTCCCTTCTGACCATATAGCTCTGTGCTGTCACTTCTGGCGATGGTGGTATCTGGAACATTGTTTGTAAGCTATGATTCCATTATATGATTCCATGAGAATGGCTATGTCAGACTGTTTCTTGACAGCAGCTTTGTGTAACACCACTCCCAATCTTGGCACAAACCCTGAGATTTCAGTGATGAGGATTTTGCAGGATCAACAATGTGGCGTGTGGCATCACCAATTCTGGTGCCTTGGTCAATGCCAAGTGGTCTGTCTGGTCTCATTCCTTTTATCAGATTTGGTAGTTGTTAGATACAACTGAGTAGCTGACTAGGCCACTTCAGAGCATAGTTAAGAGTCAACCACATTGTGTGGACCTGGAGTCACAAATAGACCAGACCAATGAGGATGGCAGATAGTTCCTTCTCTAAAGGGCAATAGGATTTTCACAATAATTAAAGTGGTTACATGGTCACCATTATAGTAACTTACAATTCCAGAACTCAAATTTCACGATTTGCCATGGTGGGATTCAATCCATTGTCTGGGTTACTCAGAAAGTGTCAATAGTATTACTCCATGTGTTGTTTTGACAGTGAAAGAGGTTTATCTAATGGCATTACCTTAAATTAAATCCGCTTTGTCAGACAACCTACAACTCTCTCAGTCTCCATCTTGCTGAGCTTTGTTCTCTTGCAGCATGACATGTCAAGGGAAGCATGCCACAGTACATCCACATGATGTAGCCTGAGTCCAGGTACACAAGTGCTTGTGATTGGACTATGCATATGTAAATAACAACAGCGGTAGTCAAAAGTAATTGAGTTGATGATCTGCACTTCTATACCAGTCTTTACCAATTTATTCTCACCTATTCATTCCATTTCCCAGTTCCATTTTCTTTTATTTCCCATTGTTCCTTAAATTACTTCACAATAAAAATTTACTTATTCATACTTGCCTGTATTTCTCTGGTATATGTTTTTCTTCCTAAACGCATCTGTTTCACATGGAGTGGCTTTACTATTTTGGTTCCTCTTCTATACAGTTTGTTTTGAGGAAGCAAAATGCTGTTCTCCTTTATTACTTCACTGTAAACAAATTTCTTCAGTAAAAATCTTAAGTTGCCAATATTGCTGTTTGGCAACAATGTTCTTGCTACTGTTCACATTTTGGTCCCCATGACTTTCCTGCATTATAGAAGTATTCCCAGCAGGAGAGGGGCTGAGAAAGACAATCACTGCCAGTTCTCCAATGCTGCTCTTGGTCTTACCACTAGGAGCCTTTGTGATCAGATCTTTACACAGTTCCCCAATTTTTCTGACGCAGGCCCAAACCTACTGAACATTCACATTCCAACCAACCACAGGATCAGAAATATTAAGTTACTCATTGAAAGAATAAGCTGAATAGAACAAAATCCAGCTTTATCTGCATTGTATTAAACTAAAAATCATGTCGGCACTTGCTGTTTTTCTTTCATGCAGATGGAATGGTGTTTTGTGCTAATGACTACCTTCTGTGTCTACAGTATGAGTTAGTGGAGGAGAATAAGGACTAGGAGTAAATTATATAGCCCTAATCAACAAGCTCCACTATTCAATAAGATCATAGCTCACCTACTTAAATTTCCACCTTTCCTGAACTCACCTTTGTTTATGGTGATGAAGAGGTGTGGAGTACATCATCAACAAGAACTCCTGAAATCTTCTTGCACAGGAGAGGGCCTTTGGATCATCGTGTTTGTGCTGGACAGTCGAACTACCTAGCTGATTCCCATCTTCATGTATGAGACGCTCAGCTTTGCAGGTCACAGCTCTTCCAGCAGACATCCATGATGAGAGTGTATAGAGTGATAGCTGATCTATGGTTATCACGCTTATGTTAGCTCCCATAGCACAAATGTGAGATGTTGGGCACACAGTGCTGAAGAACTCCATGTATTTTTATTTCAGCTGCTGGTACTTACATATGTATAGTACAGTCACAGATATTTGTGTGTCTGAACACAACCTAAGCAACTTGGATGTACTATGGCATGCTTCCCTCCCCCTTCAAGGGAGCAGAGCTCATTAAGATGGAGACTGGGAGATTTATACATATTTTGAATCAACCTGTTCATAGATGTTAATAAAGACCTCTGGAGCAGGTGGGACTTGAACCCAGACCTCCTGGTCTAGAGACAGGGACACTATAACTGCACCACAGAACAGTTCCAGATCCTGGCAATGACCACCCGAATCTTCTCTTTAATATTTTCGAATCAGCCTGTTTAGAGATGTTATGACCACACCTCTGGAGCAGGTGGGATCTGAACCCAGATCTCCTGGCTCAGAGGTAAAGACCTTACCACTGCACTGCACGAGGCCTCCAGCAGCTCAGCCTTCCAGCAGATTACACCACCTGGCCCAAAGCTTTATACTGTTAGGTCACGAACAATTATATGCTCTTTTTATTATAAGCATGTTCCTTAAAGGCATATCACACATTTGCTGAGACACATAACGTGACAATCCAAATACTTTTACAAAAAATGTCTTCAGAGTTTCTGCCTCTACCAACCCTCCCAGCAGTGAGCTGAGGTTCCTCAGGATCAGGTCCTTATCACCTTCTGGGTGAAAAAATGTGACCACAGTCTCATCACCAAATGCTATCAAATAGGAAGCTGCCAGTTGTCTGTCCCAAAAAGCATTCAAAAATAACTAAATAGAAAAAAAAACACATTTTATAAACTCAGGAGTGGACCTTTTATTTCTGAATGACTATGAGGCATATTCAGATTGTGATTTCCTGAGGATATTTCTGCAAGCACAGCTTTCAACATTTTTTGTGGTTACTGTCACGAGTTGCCCATGTTGAATTACATTTTGAATACAGGAAAAACTATCGAATCAAATCCAACTAAATTACAGCACTTTCATTTATGTTTTTATATAATATTAACATTTCAACAGGGAACACCATCCAGTAGCTTTTCATTTTTCTGCAGTCCAGGTTTAAAAATTTAATTGTGTTTTACTTTGCAATAGCTGTACTTACGTAAACGTATCCAAAATGAATCTCTTACAAGAGGATTTTTTTGCTGAGGTTTTTAAAAATTGTTTTATTTCTCAGCTATAGCAGTGTGACACCACTGTGTGGTGATGGATAGCTAACAGCCTCTTAAGGCAGTAAGTAGTTCCACTCAATGTAACAATTCACTTATAACCTTATTTTCCTGTGTGCATGAAAATATGATAATAAATCAGTGTAGCTAAGCATTACTGAAGTTTTCGGTATTAAATTTAATTGGGAAAAACAAATTTGAGATGCTGCATGAATCACACCTCTAGTTAGGTGCAAAGTGTGCTACTACTGTAATTGCATGGATAACTGGGATAGTTCATAGATCTGTAATTACCCAACATTAGATAAATTGCCAAATTATGCAAGTAAAGATTGATCCAGTACTGTCCATTATTTGACATTACGAACATATTTAATAATTACTGTAATCAAACATGTCGTGAGAATAATATATTGGTTCAAAAGGTTTTCCCTCCTTTCTGACACCTCAGGTTCCCAGATTGGTTCCTGAATGCCACGTGAAATTCTGAATGGACTCCCTAATTTGTTGAGAACTTTATGTACCAGTCCAATTACCCAAATGAGTGGAAAACTCAATCCATTAAATAAAAGACTGACGATTATTTCTACAGCATAATTAAAATACATTTGTACCACTAAGTGGACTAGTGTAGTTAACATCTTAATTGAATACAATGGTGTGTAATGACGAGTTCTTTTCAAATCTTGATTTATGCTCATAAAGTTGACTGGTAAGAAAGTCAGTAAATGTGTTTAATTGTGGTTATTTGGCAGCCATTATGTCACTACACGAGCACCTTATTAGAGATTTGTTGAAGATCATTTTGGTTTCACTCTCTTGATGGTTGAAAAGGTGCAGGGTGTGTGTAAAAGCTCTAATATTGGCTTTGATTTTAACCAGACCATTGTCATGGCAACAACTTAGGTTGTGCTGTTTCTTCTTTGGAATTTTGCTTTTTAAATGCAGTCTGTATGTGGGTAGAAATAGCTACCTTGCTGCCCAGGCTGAACATTAGTTGCAATCAATTTTCACGTTTGCAGCTACAGGTATGTTTTTGGACAACGCGCAACAGCAAAATGAAAATAACTGCATATTGTTTAACTCTCGCTGCATGGATGATTCCAACAACTCACCAGTTTAGGGGATTCCAATTATGTCCCTATCAGACCAGATAGCATAGCACACTAAATTCACAGAAAATGGCTCATTTCTGCCTCACGCTTAAGATCTTGCTATTAATATTGCAAAAAAGGGATCTATGAAGCGTTTTCTTGTGTCAAACCCGCTGTTTAAGAGACCCTGACGCCACATCGGAGAATTTTCAAGTGGTTATTTATTTTTTGAAATGCAGTTTTCTATGTAAAATGCAATACGAAGCAGTGCAAATAAGAAACATGGTACTCAAAGTACTAGTACACTGCCACTGAAATAATAAGTAATTCTAAGTAAACAGGAACACGTACCGGCCTGGGCACACTGTCCCGAACTGCATGGTACGAAACCAAACCCTGCACAAGTCTCTATGCAAAGTAACAAAAGGCACGGGATTGAAATAACACTAGCAATTGAAACGAGAGTACAGTTGACATTTATGAATACTTGTGCCTCTATGCTGAGGTCTGAACTCTGGACTGGGTTGTGTTCGGCATCTCCTGCATTCCCAGGCAACAACTGTATATTAAAATGTTAACTGGTACATTTTTTCGATTTTTTTTTTTAAAAAGAACATTTTGCAAAGTAACGTGCAGCAGCTACAAGTATATTGCATGAAAGATTCTCCCTCGGTTTGAAATAAAGTTCCTTCTAAATGTGGACTACAATTCCCACAATGCTATCTTCTCTAGCAGGAAGAACGTGATGACACGCTGAGAAGTTTGGAGCTGGTGAACTCAGCTCCGGCCGATCATGTAGCTGCAGCTCCGTAATTACCGAACAGCTTTTTGCATTTGCAAATCTTCCGCTGTTTGCAGCTTGCTTCCGAGTTATGCAAACGGCCATTCCCTCTGCATAGCTCGCAGCTGCAAAATAATCGCTCAGGATTCCCAGGTGGATGAAAATTTGGAGGCAGCAAGCTTTTGCATCTTTGTTGCAAAGCTGAAAAGGCAAAGTCTTTTGTGATCCCCTCCCCCTCCCCTCCCAGCAGGGGAAAAAAAGAAAAAAAATGTCGCTGTCAAAAGGAGGTAAGGTTTGCACAGATATATGGAGCGATATTTGGGTAGAATGCAAAAAGACCTGTGCTTAATGCAAAATGCAGTGGTGCACCTTGAGCTTTGCAATGTCAGTGCTAAGTTTCAAGGCTTGCAGAGCTGATTGCATTTCCTGTTTTAGCTGAACACACTGAATTTGCATTTTGCAGACAGAGGATCCTGAGGCTGGATTTTGCTGTTCAGCTGGTCACTGACGTATTTGCATTCCGATTACTGAGCTCAGGGTGCTTTTTTGCAAACAGATCGAGGTGCTAATATATTACGTAAAGGGGGTCAGCGTTTAAATGCATTGAATCCATGAGGAACTGCACGCCACCGTAATTTGCATTGAAAGCGTTTCTTTTAAAACCGATTTAAATATATTAACTTAGCACAAACATGCAGTCCGTCGAAACAAAAAGTCGAAATGCATCAGTCAAATACGAAATTGCAATTAAAGTCATTTACTAATTTGCAAAATAGATCGACAAACTTACGTTTCGATTGAAATACATAACGCTATGAATAATATATTTGCATATCGAATTCTAAACTCGACCATAAGTGTCTTTTCATCGATTGCATTAATATTAGTGATTATTCGTCACTTGTAACACTCTAGCATGGATTTTGCAGAGAAGCAAAAAACAGGATGCTAATATTAGACTTCGGCACTCTGTCAAACATGGAAAAATGTTCTTATGTCTGTGTGAATTGACCATTTATCGCCTCCAACTCACAAAAGCTGGAAGCATCTGTCGCCGCCAGCAATTCAATGACACAAGCCCCCCCCCCCCCCCC